GGAGAAAGATTAATGTTCTCCAGCCCAAGCCCCTGCTCAGTGTTGAAAGCAAAGGCTTCCTTATGGGAGAGCAGAGTTATCTCCCTTGGCACATCTTCTAGGTCTCAAGGCTTCTTAAATAAACCAAGCTACCCTACTTCACCTTAAAAATAACAGTAATAAGGCTCTTAAGACACATGGGTAATCATGACCTAATAATGTCGTACTTAGATTATGAACTAAGATCAACATAAGACGTCCTATATGTACGTCCTCTGTGTACAAACACATTCAGGACACCTAAGGAGTCTGGACAAATGACAAGCAGTCAAAGATACGGGTTCAAGAGGTCATTACGTTAAACAAGGTTCTAGACATATACATAAAACGAATAAAAATTTTAATTCATTAACTAATAAAACTTTGGTCCAGTAAGATGAAGATCCCAGGAAGGTAGGTGCATGCTATCCTTGGCCCAACCAGACCTTCCTTTGAACAACAGGGAGTGTACCAAAAATGAAAGTGATGGGAACAGAACCACCCACCGGGGCTGTGCGCTCCTTTCTGGAATGCAAAGGCTGATGGAGAAAATGCCTGGATGGACACCTGAGGAAGACTGGAAGGGGCCCATGGAAAAAAAACCAAGTAAGTTTGTGTATCAGGAGAGCAGAGTAACCACAAAGCCCCTCCAAGAGCACAGAGCACCCGGCCAGGGGGCCAGGCCAGCCTCTGAGAAGGGAGGCAGTCACTGGAAGAGGATCTGTAAATCAGGCATTGTTCCAGACAAAAGCTGCTAGCCCAGAGCCACAACTACTGGGAGGGAACTAATGTCATGTTATCCCCCGAGGCCCCAGACTCAGACATAGAGATTAGCCTTATCTGCACTTTCCACACCTCCTGGGTCAACAAATCTGGGAAGCCAAGTTCACATAAATGTAATTTTCGCACATGATTTCCAGTTGAGAGGTGTTGGCTATGACCCAGGCAAATGAAAGAATTCACTTCTGACAAGCCAGAGTAAGAGGTATAGTGAAAGGTTAGGGAGAAGAGTGGCATCTACGTTCTCAAGCTCCCCAGCCAAGCGGGCGTCCCCAGAGCTGGAGACCAGTATCTTTAAATCTACCTAAGAACACCGGGACACCTACTGATCAGATAAGGGCATCTGAAGATCATGACAAGAACTCCAGGGGAAAAAAGGTGGCAAAGCTTTATGATGCAGTAAAACCTCTGCTGCCAGAGGCCACATCTTGGGCAAAAGTCCAGAGTGGCCCTGCAAGAGGAAGAAAGAGAGGAAGGGGAAGGTCCTGGATAACCAGGCCACTCCCTGAGGAAAAAATGTGAAGTGACCAGTGATGGGTGTCTTAATACTGAAAATACAAGAACTGAATCCAGAGTCATAAGCGCCGTGATTGATCAGCTCATTTACTAGAAAGGAAGAGAAGAAAGCCATCAGTGTGGTGTAATCAGATGAGTTCAGAAACTTGGGTTCTGGTCCCTACCAAAATCTAGACTTACGAACTCTGATAAAAGGGCCTCAGCCTAAAATAGAGAGAGAGGACTGGTCAAGCCCTAAAATGCTATGACGCCATCAGCAAAGGTGGCTGCAGAGAGGACTCTGGATGGAGGGAATCCATCCACAGGGCAAAAAGCACAATGAAGCCCACAGAGCTCTGTTACGCTAGGGGTTGAAAACCCACCAGTCACCTTCCGGCCAGTGGCTACCAAAGCCATCGGCATGACCATGGCAGTCACAGCCACCACCACAACTTACAAGTGAGAAAGCCAGGTGGGTCCCTGCCATGCTAGAAGCAGGTACACCTGCCACTCTGATACAACATCTGCTCTTTAAACAGCTGACGGCTCCCACCGATGCCCAAAGGGCCGGAAGGAAGGTTCTGTGCCTAGGAAAAGTCTACTGTCTGCTGACAAGACTCCCATTTTAAAAAGACGAAAACAATGCCTGGCATGTAAATGTATGTGAGTTAAATATTTGTTTTCCTAGAAACTGTTCAGAAGAACCAATTAATTCTCTGTGGACTGTGTGACGATTATTCTGTGTACAACCTGAGAATGAGCAACCTGGGGGAGAGAGGAGTTAAATCAAAGATTCCCAAGGCAAGGTGTCTAGGATTTATAGTCTAAACTAGGAAGTTTAAGAAAGTTGAAGGTACCAGGGAAAACAGAACCCAGGAAAAACTGGGAGAGGATGTTTGACAAGTAAAAAAGGTGGAAAAGAAGAATTATGGTTTGCCTCCTGTTGGGAAGGAGCCTCTGAGAATAAATGATCCTAACTAAGAATTAAAAATAATGAGAGGAAGAATCTGTAACACTAACTAAAAGCATATTCTTTCCAGACTCTGGTCATAAAAATGTTAAGAACTCTCCATTTCTTTCGTGGGAGCCTCCTCCTATGCTTGTCCCTTAACTATGCTTAGGGCTCTGTCCAGGGCCCCCTTCCCTTATCCACTCCCGCTCAGGCTTCGAGCACCACCTATAGACAGACAATCCCCACCCCTCTCTGTGGACCCATATGCCTCCACCTGGCCGTCTCAGGAGGCCTGAACCCATTCTGGCCACCTTGGTCCTCTGTTCTGCCATACCTACCTTCCAATGGGCTCCTTCTCTGGTCCCCACCACCATCGAGCACACATTGTTTAAGCCAAAAAATAAAAAAAATAAAAAAAAACTCAGGAACTGTGGGCTGGATAAATAAAGGATATTAAACGATGTAGGAGACAGAGATGAAATCTGTTTCTAACCAAGGTCGGAGAGAACTACCTTCACGTCCTGCTTCAAGGAACCTGCTTTGGTCCACCTGGAAGAGCTGTGAGATTGGGTCACAAAAGACAACTCTCTGGACCCAGAAAACAGGAAGAGTCGGCCCTTACCTTGGAGTCATAGGCTGACTGCTTAATGACTTCAGGAGCCATCCAGAAGGGGGTGCCCACGAAGGTGTTTCTTTTGATCTGGGTATCTGTCAGCTGCCCCGCCACCCCGAAATCGGCCAGCTTCACCTCTCCGTGTTCAGAGAGCAGAACGTTGGCAGCTGCAAAAACAGACCCCAAGACACCTCCTGACGCCCTGTGCTGCTCGGCTTCACCCGTTAGTGCTTCCGGAACACGTACAGTCTCTTGTCTTCGAGATCTCGTGCTCAACGCGGGCAGGATCGGTGGGATCCCCCTCAAAGCCGCCCCACCCCACCCCACCCCAGGCAGGTTGAAGGCACTCCTTGAACACGTGCAGGACAACCTCCCTTTGAGAAGAAGTACAAGCTTCCCCTGTACTGGGCCTTTCCACCCGCCTTAGGATTTCAGAGGCATGGAAAGCAACATGTTTTCTTACCTTTAATATCTCTATGAATTTTCTTCTCCGAATGCAAATAATCAAGTCCTTTCAGTATTTCTCTTAATATAGTAGCAATCTGAGTTTCATCTAAAGGGCCAGGTTCTAACTAGTAAAAAAAGAGTTATTAAGGTTACTCAAATGATCATTTTAGGAGAAGTTTGAGATGATCAAACACAGTCAATACCCATTTTAAATGAACAATATTCAAATCTAAAAACATCTTCACTCCAGGGGTGCCTAGGTGGCTCAGCCGGTTAAGTGTCCGACTCTTGGTTTTGACTCAGGTCATGACCTCATGGTTTGTGGGTTCGAGTCCCGCATCGGGCTCTGTGCAGGCAACTGGGAACCTACTTGGGATTCTCTGTCTCCCTCTCTCTCTGCCCCTCCCCTGCTCTCTCAAAATAAGTAAATAAACATTTTTTAAAAAATCAAATAAAAATTTCTTCACTCCAAATAGCCATTTTGCCTGAACAATTAAAACCTATTTAAAAGACCCCTCCCCCCAAAAGTAAAGAAAGCAGCAAAGAAAAAAAGAGTTTGCCAATTAAAGCAAATCTGGCTAAGAATCGAAGCAGGGCCAGTGAGAAAGCCTGTGGTCAGCCCAGTCGTGCCAACAAGCTAAGCTTGGGAGGGACTTCAGTCCAGAGACCAAAGCCTGGGAGCTCACAGTTAGGGTACCCCATCCTAACACATACCATGGTCATCACCACGCCCGTGGTTGTGGCCTGGGGGCCGACTGCCGTCTGAGGCTACACATGCACCAGAACTTTCCAAATCTGAAGTTTTAAATTTTAAATGTGTATTTATTTTTGAGAGAGAGAGATCAAGCATGAGCGGGGAAGAGGCAGAGAAAGGGAGACACACAGAACCTGAATCAGGCTTCAGGCTCTGGGTTGTCAGCACAGAGGCCAGCGTGGGGCTTGAACTCACACACCTTGAGATCATGACCTGAGCCGAAGTCAGACACTTAACCAACTGAGCCACAGAGGGGAGGCGCCCCTCCAATCTGAATTTTAAGACCTGGGGGAAGAGAGCTGAAAAGGGCTCAATTCCAGTGATGCGGGATATTTTTTTTTGGGGGGTCACATAATAAATATATTAGTCTATTATCCCAAATAAGATATAATCGCCTCTGAAAACCTTTACTGTGAGAAACTCAAAAGAATACTGACGCCTTAAAATTATAATTGTATGAAGATGTAAGGAAGAAATGCCAAATTCATATATCCTCTGTTAAAAGGGAAAATTAGGTTCTAGAGTGCAGCTCAGACAAGGTAGATAGTCCACCATTACTTCAGAGCAGGGAATTCAACCACACCTAATAGTTCCACAAATCAGCACAACAATCTAACACTCCCTACAGGACCAATAATGGTGCCATCAGAGAGAGGGACAGAATTCTCATGATTTATGTTAATTTTTTATCCATATGATAATCCTCAGAATCACATTTTAGATCTGACAGGGATGCTATCATCACCCAAATCCTCACACTTCGTGGAAGGAAGCCACCACCCCGTGACCTTCCCTGCGTAAATTTTAAAAAGACAGATGAGCTATACAGGATCAGACCTGTAAATACAAAGAACAAAGTAGTGACTGCCGGAGGAGGGAAGTGCTGGGCAAGAGGGTGAAGGGGCAAGGGAGGGACAGGATTCCAGGTGTGGAATGAATGTATGCCACAAGGATAAAAGCCACGGCGCAGGGAACGCACTCAGAGGTGTTGCAACAGTGATGTACTTTGCCAGATGATGGCCACACGTGCGGGGAGTACAGCATATGGAACACGCTGGTCAAATCGCTATGATGTACGCCTGAAACTAACGTAACATCGTGTGTCAACTACACTCAAAAAAACAAAACCAAAAACAAAAACAGTGGGGCGCCTGGGTGGTTCAGTCAGTTGAGGGTCTGATTCTTGATTTCGGCTCAGGTCGTGAGCTCAGGGTTGGTGGGATCAAGCCCTGTGTTGGGGTCTGTGCTGACAGCATGGAGCCTGCTTGGAACGGACTCTCTCTCTCTCTCTCT